ACCACCTGAGAGAGCTGGACCTGAGTAGAAACGGCCTGCAGGATTCAGATATGATTCAGCTGGTGAATCTTGTGAATAATTCAAATTACAGACTGGAGAATCTGTGGTAAGTAGGAAGTTGCATTGAGTCAATGCTGCTTTTAGCACTACTGTATAAAACACAGTTGGTATCGGAGCAAAGATCGAGTGTTTCCTATAAACCCTCACTGGCTGCTTTTCTCAGTAAAGCGGCAGCTGTTAACAGTCATCATTTTTTGAGAGGACGAGATTAGACTGAGGCTTGCGAGGGCTGCACTGTGTTAACGCGTTAGCGCCGTGCAACCCTGGCATGGGCCGAACGGGAATTTGCTGTGTTAAGGCGTTAATGTCGTATTAACAAGAATAACGCTGACAGCACTAGTAAAGACCCTAGAAAACCCCAAAAATCATATGACCCCCTATGAGCAAACACTTCAGTGACAGTGGGAATAAAAAAAACTCCCCTTTAAAAGGAAGAAATCTCTGGCAGAACCAAGTTCAAGAAGGGTAGGCCTTCTGCTGCGACCGGTTGAGAGTTAGTGGAGGAAGACAGGACAAAAACACACCGTGGAAAGGAGCCATAGAGCATAACTGATGATTAAATGCAGATTGGTGCATACGCACATAGTGAGTGAAGGTGAAACACTGGACCTATTGCAGAATAACTAACAGAGGATTCAGGGTCACCTGGTCCAGCCCTAACTATATGCTTTTATCAAAAAGAAATGTTTTAAGCCTAATCTTAAAAGTAGAGATAGTGTCTGTCTCCCGAATCCAAACTGGGAGCTGGTTCCACAGAAGAGGGGCCTGAAAGCTGAAGGCTCTGGCTCCGATTTTATTTTTAAATGTGTTAGCAAGCACAAGTAAACCAGCAGATCGAGAGCAAAGCTCTGTTGGGAAGATACAGTACAATGAGGTCTTTAAGATAAGGTGGGGTCTGATTATTCAAGATCAGTTTTTAAGGAGAAATATGGTCTGTCTTTCTTCTGCCGATCAGCACTCTTGCTGAAGTATTTTGGATTAACTGAAGGCTTTTCGGAATTTTCAGCATCACTCTGAGACAGGATATTTATATTTTGAGAGATGTTGTGCAATTGAAAGAAAGTAATCCTACAAATTTGTTTATGTGCATTGAAGGATATAAAGTCGATTCCTCACAGTGTTGCTGGAGGCCGAGGTAATGCCATCCAGAGTAAGAGTCCGGTTAGATACCGTATTTCTAAGATTTTCAGGGCCGAATTCAATAACCTCAGTTTTATCTGAATCTAAATTTAGAAGCAGGAAATTAAACTTCATCCAGGTCTTTATGTCTTTAAGACATTCCTGCAGTTTAACTAATTGGTTTGTGTTATCTGGCTTCATGGACAGATCGAGTTGGCTGTCATCTACATAGCTGTGAAATTGTATGCTATGTCTTCTAATAATACTGCTTAACCCAGGGGTCGGCAGCCTGCGGCTCCGGTCCCGCATGCGGCTCCGTGTGGTTTGGGAAAATAAATTAGAAGTATTTAACTGAAGTGTATTTTATTTATATTAGTTCTTTTTTAACTTGTAGTTCTAAATTGGAAGATTATTGTGATATTGAAATATAAAAATATAATTATATTCTATTATTTTTTCATTGCTCAAAATAAGCGTCACACT